GATATAGGGATCCATCAATATTTAAATAGTTTTCAATTCTAATAATTTATTTTTAATAAATTTTCCGAATGTATAGAGCCGTTCATATTTAATTACTGTTGTATTTATTTTATTTGTAACTATATATTTTATTACCCATTCCTGTGTTTCTCTTATTGCTGGTTCTTAACCGTTCTCTTTCAGGGTACGTAGGGTACGAGATAAGTGTTTTATTTTTATTTATTCTAGTATAGTGGCTACCTAGCAGTGACCGCCTGGAATTATTTTTTTATCTCCACTGAGTTCACCTTGAGTACACTCTGGTGTACCACAGGGTCGCAGAGCAAACTGCGATACCAAAACTGGCGCCTGAGCAACCCCTATTCGGGAATCACCTTCATAGCGCCACACAGACTCGCTGATTCACTGTAGATGAACCAGAAGCCCGTCACACATGTAAGTTACTTTTTTATGTAACACGATATGTAAATGATACATATATGTTTGTGTTTGCTGGGCAAATATTGAATACATAACTAACCGAAGCCCATTTTGTCGAATTCATACTGTGATGTTTGTTTACTTTAAAACAACAGTTTATTTATTAATAATTTATTTATACACTTATTTATTTTATAGCACAACTATTCTAATTTATATATACTTCGAATGTCTTTAAACTGATCACTGTTTATATTTACCACTGTCTATCTACTAATTACTATTTATCTTCACTGTCCATATACTAACTAACTTTTGTTGGTCCTCCACCAATATTTATATACAAATTGGTGGTCTAGAATGCTCCCCCACCAAAATTACCAGAATGTACCAGAAACGTTATCACGTTATATTTAGACTAGAAATAGTATCTCGTTGACTCTGGAATGTTCGCGAAAGTGTCTCCACCCATAGGTTTGGTCTTAAGGGGTTTAATTATGTATAATAAGCGGACAAGTTGAGCCTCAAAGGCCAAATAATACAGAGAGGGACTTGGAGTATTAGAACATGATTGAATAATGAAATGGCTCACATTACAATATTTTATTTACAGCATACATTAAAAAAAATTACATCCCAAGCATTTAAAATGATAATTTTGTGCCTTTATATGTGTATTCAATTAGCAAAGTGTAAATAAGGGCTTTCCCTCGTATAAAGGCGTTTATTATAAATTTTAGTATTTGATTTTAGACAAAGTACCAAATATTATTAAAACGGTAAAAAATGAGTCTCCCTGTTTATATAATTTATATTTCTGTAAATTGTGAATATGCATGATAATATATTTTCCTCTAAATTCAAAATAATTTTAAGATATGGCAACACGGCGTCGAAACTTTCGCTACTTTTGCTCCATCGGACACCTATAACTTAGGACCTGAACTATAATTCAATATGGACGCAGCAAAATTTTACATTAAATCGTAATTTTTGCAATTTAAAAAGTACGCAACATTGATTATTTAAATTTGGTAAGAATATTCAAAAAAATATGTAGAATCATTAAATATTTTATTATAAGCTGCCAAAGTTTCACTAAAATCCATCCTGTGAAAGATAAGTTTTGTAAATAATTGTAAACCTCTGTTTTGACCACGTAAAATACACTGAAATGGCGGCCTTAATACCCCTTATATCGAAATCTAATTATAGAATTGAATTGAGCCTATTAACACTTTTGGTTACTAGGTTGAGTACAACAACCAAAATTTTAGAAAATTTGACTGGTACCACATTACGTAAGAAAAGTGTGGGGTCATTTGTTTAATATGTTGTATGGATTTTTTTCATTAAAATATTAAAAAATTATCATTAATCATTTGGTTGTTTGCTGGTAAATTATTTATTTTAAAACTTGCCATATTTAACTAAAATATATAATTTCAAGTAAATTTACAAAAATAAACAAATAATTTAAGGTGTTTTAAATAAATTAATTTTTGTTATGTAATTTAACTAATAATAATTTAATAACAATAAATATTGGACGAATAACTTACTGATTTGAAAAAAAAAAAACCGCTCAATTTTATCATATTGTGAACATATCAGATTTTTAAGTAAACTTATGTAGTATTTTACTTTTAGTATCCTTTTATTGTTTTCTTTAATAGTTATTGCAATATATAATGCTGTTTCCTATTAATATTATATTATCTCTTTTAATGTTCATTATTACATGCATACTAATATTCACCAATCAAATATTCAATTTGTTTTAACATAATGTTTCTACGCCACTGGAAAAATAGTTTTCGGCAATAATCATGCATGCATAGATTACTGGTATGGCACGTCATAATTCACTGGTAGGTATAGTACGGTAACTGTAGGGGACAGGCGGGCAAAATGGGGTACTTAAGGTTTAAAGTAGAATTAAAAAAAAATAAAAAACTTTGAAGGTTTAACAATAAGGCAATTGTCATTGTTATAGTATTAACTATTTATTACTATAATTTGAAGTAAAAAAAGGTAAACATTTTTCTTATTTTACAAAAAGAAGAAAATTATGCAAATTACCCCATTATGCCCGTCGTATAGGGCAAAATGGGGTACCAAACTTAAACCAAGAAAAGCCTATTGACAAAGTTCGCAAACAAGTACTGCCTCATCATCTTCATCTTCTACACCTGCACATGAATTGTGAGCCCATTTATGGCAACTAGAACAGCTTATCCATCCCTCTGTGGAACTCGAATAAAAGTATCCGCAGTACAAGCAGTCAGTGTCACTATCTTCGCCTTCTGAATCAGACTCTACTTCTTTAGTTTTTTTCAATTTTGATTTCTTAATCGTCTGAGATTTGGTTTTATTATCGGCAATCTTTCTTTTCACTGATTTCACCTTGATAGCCTGCTTTTTTTCTTCAGCCAATTCCAGCTCCGTTTTATAGGGTGAAGACGTTAAAATGACAGTTTTTCCCCTTTTTCTTGACACTCGTTTCTTGGATTGATTTACTTTAGGCACTGCTAAGATCGCTTCGGGACTTACAAACTCAAAACTAGTTTCACTTTCTTTGGACGATCCTGGTTGAGGCTCAGGTATATCCTTCCTAATGGATGGTCCTGGTTGAGGCTCAGGCGTCTTCTCTCTAATAGACGACCCTGGTTGAGGCTCGGGAGTCTTCTCTCTAATGGATAGTAATTGACTTTCATGTCCACTAGGACCAATTTCTATATCAGTTGTAGCTGATGGCAAAAAATCTGCTTCAGAAAAAACGGCCATATCCACAGGCCACACGCCGGTTGCTTTAAAACCATTTATGGCAGTAACCATTGTAGCTGCTCTTAAATATGCGGCACTGAATAGGCAGGAAATTTGTTGAAATGTTACTACTCGTCCAGGATTTGTTCTAAGCCATTTCCTGACTTCGTCGTCATAATATGCGCTTAGTGGCTTCATAAATGCAACATCTAATGCTTGAAGACGGTGTGTGCAATGGGGTGGAAAACATATCATTTGCACTCCATTTTCCCTAGCATAATTAATTACGTCTAGATTTTTCGTATGTGACGAATGACCGTCTAGCAGAAGCAGAACTGGTGAATCTTTTGAAGCTCTGGAATACTCTACAAATTTCTTAAACCATGAAAAAAACAACATCTTATCTATCCACCCTTTTTCATTAAGTTCAACCCATCCACCAGGCACGAGGCCATCCAAAAACCCCTGTTGCATTCGTTTCCGGGGAAATATTAGCATGGGGGGCATATACGCCCCTGAGGCAGAGAAACAAATTTCTGCAGTGATAGTTTCACCCCTTTCGGCTGACGCAAGCGCACCAACTTGGCGCTTTCCTTTTGAAGCTATAATTTTAGAAGGCCCCTTTGGATTGACCGTAACTCCCGTTTCGTCCACGTTGTAGATTTTTTCTGCTGTTAGTTTATATTTCTGAACAGTTTCTTCCAACAGTTTAAAGAATTGTTGTACAGCCACCTTGTTAAAACCCATCGCACGGGCACCTGACGTAGCCTCGGGCTTTCTAATTGACAAGTCCTTGTGCCTATTCAAAAACCCCTGCATCCATCCCTGTCCAGCCATTTTGCGATCTTGGTTAAAGGGATGCTCAATCCGATTTTCATCAGCAAGTTGAAAGGCAAGTTGCCTACATTCTGTCAGAGTCAATCCAAACAATCTTGCTTCCATACCTTTAAGATAATTAACAAGTTCAACTTCTTGTTCGGGAGTAAAAACAGACCGTTTAGCGCCTAAAACTTTTGCAACAGAATAACCTGCATTATCTCGTTTTTTTTTTACGTGACGCTCTAAAGTAGTCTGAGGAACGCCAAAGGAAATCGATGCTCGATAGTAACCCATCTCACCATTTACTACAGCATTTACAGCCTGTTGCATACTCTCGGTTGACCACTTTTGACGATCCGTCTTCCTTTTGTAGGTAAACACCATCTGGAAACAAAACCAATTTGTTTTTGTAAGGTTGCATAAAAGTATATCAAAAAGTGGGCGTTTTGGTTAGATTTATATTAAAATAAATAGGTCATAATCTTAACATAATATGCTTATAGGGCATTTTACCTTACCTATTGCTACCCCATTTTACCCTACCTATTGCTACCCCATTTTGCCCAATGAGCAGATTTATAAGTTATAACCTATTTAAATTATTACAAGTGTTTATTTTTTAACACAATGACAAAGAAAGTCTCTAGAAAACATTCACTATTAGTGGGTAATAATGTTATCTAATAATAAAATTGATTTACTACTACTTACGATAAATTTATTCTCGGGCGATATTATAACCTTGTTTACTAAAAACGCACATGTACTACTTACTCACAACGGTCGACTACCAACTATTGATTTCTACTTTATGACAGAGGCCGTATACACGTATATGTAATATAATTTCATTATCGTCGTATAGATGGAGCAAGTGGTATTGAAAAAAAATCGGGTACCCCGTTTTAGGCAGCTACCCCGTTATGCCCGCTTGTCCCCTAATTGAATAGGGATGTAGAATTTATTAATTTTGTGTCACATAAGACGAAAAGTTCCTAAAAAAAATTTTCGTAATCTTCAATGTACTTTATATATTTTTCACTTAATTTGTCACTATATGTATTTATACAAATAATGTCCGAGGCATTGTTGCTTATGCAAATGGGAAGTCTCGACGAATGCATAACTGTTGTTTTCTTATTATTTCTTTGAATATGATATATGACGGACTCCCTTGCCCAGTATTCCTTAATGTTGTGTAGGTTTAAAATCTCATAGATCTCTTTCAGGCAAGGGCAAAACCATGGATTGTGACTCAGGCTAATTTCCTCTAAATTGATTGTTCTATTAAAAAATGTGAATGGCAGATACATCAATCCATTTCCATTTAAACGAATCGATAGCAAATATTTCATTCCGGTCGTAGGAAATATATCCAAATCAAGTGCTTTCAATTGATTACTTTCTAAATTCAGGAACAATAAATGTGGAGTTTGGCCAAAACTATTCTTTTCTATTATCGATATCCTGTTATTAGCCAAATTTAGATAATTCAAATTATTTAAATTATACAGCATATCTGTGGTCACAACAGTTAACAAGTTGTTATGAAGATAAAGTTCTTTTAAGTTTGGCACGTCGTAAAAAGCACGTATGTTGGAATTTTGAAGACTGATAGAGTAAAGTTGTGAAATATCTCGGAAAATACCTTTTCTTAAAAATGGAATATCGTTAAATCCTATTGATACATATTTCAGTTTAGGTAAATTGAGAAACGCTGATTCTTGAATTTCGCCTATTTTAACCACATCCATTTTTATACTTTCTAAATGTGGAATATCTTTAAAAGTTTCAGAATATATTATTCCAATTCGGCTAGCTTTTATGGTAATTTTTGTTAATTTTTTCATTTTAATAAATGAAGACCTTTCAAGAGGTTCGATGATTTTAGATAGGACTAAAATGGTATAGTTCTCATAACTTTCGTTTAAAATTTCTTGAGAAATTTTTGTATTATAACAGCCTAAAAGTTCGAAAGAATGTATACATTCAGCCTCTACACTTTCTAAAATCACTAAGCCAAAATATGACACCAAAACAACTCGAATCACAAACATTTTGTTAAACATTTAATATTTTTGAAAAATTTTTATTCGACCGGGATAACAGACTGATCACTACTAGCAAAACTGATGCTTAAAACTATTTTATAATATAAATTGATAAAATTTGTTTCGGAATTTCCCAACAGTTATCCAATTGTTACAAAGCGAAATGATGTTATTTTTTTTGTAAAGGTCAAAAGATTATCTGTTGAAATCCATTTTAAATGTTTATTATCAAATATAAATTTTGTAATTTTGACATGTCGCAAGAAGGGTTATTTTCTATATCACGTTTGTTAGATTTATTAATAATAATAATAGATGGAACCAGATATTGTGACATTTTACATTTGGAAAAATTCCTGTATTTAAAAATGTAATATTTACAATTAAAAAATTTAAGAAAATTTACATTTTTCAGTGTTTTAAAAGTGCTCATAGACATCAAAAGTTCCGCGAAATGTACCTGCTTTCTCATAACATTCAAGAAAGCACCCAACTTCAAAAAACGAAATAAAAATTGTTATTTTTGGTTGCAAATAATCCACTTAGAGAAAGTTGCTTTAAAATCATATTAAACAGCAGAGCTGGTGAGGATTCGAATCACATAGGATTCGAACCCAGCTAGCACAAAAATATCCCATCTACGTTAATAAGCTGCAATTTTAGGCTCTTTAAGCTCGCATGCAATGTACTGTAAATGTAACCCTATTATCCCAGCAACTACCGAATGTCCACAACGGCAAGACTTTTATAGCACATCTCGTAGAAGTTATAAAGTGAAGTTCGGAAAACATCACACTAGCACTTTTACGGTACTTACCCCGAAAGTTGCTCTGAAACTTTCTATAGATGTTATAATGTGAATTAGTTCTACTGTATTATACAGTGTGTCCACGGATGGACTTAACTATACTTGTAAAAATATTTATTTTAAATTTTAAAGTACTTCTTCATAATTTTTTTTGCTTGTTAAATAAATACCATTAACGTTAAGAAATTATGAAAAATACCTCTTTTGAAAAATTTTAAATAAATATCTTTACAAGTATAGTTATGTCCATCCTTGGATACACTATATTCAAAATAGTATATTAAGGATATAGTAAAATGTAAAGAAAACAAAATAAAAAAATTGTATAAATTTATTATTAAAAAGCTATTGAAATCAAATACCAATATCATACAAGTAGAGGTAGGTAATAATACAGGTAATGCAATTACACAGGTGTGATACTATAAGGTAGCTATAAAACACTGACAAATTGAACAAAAGTAGGTATAGAGGGTATATAAGGAATATCTCAAAAGTTCACTAGAATCAAAAACATTGAACGCTTGCACGAAAGAGTATAATAAGGTACCTATATTGCAAAGGTTCACTAGTAGCTAAAATGGTGAACGATTGTACAAAAGTAATAAAAAAAAGTGTATTTATATAAGGTATATTTCAAAGGTCACTAGATTTTTAATAAGATGGCAGTTGTACGATGCTAAAAAAATATATTTGCCTACAACTGGTACTAATCATAGTTTTAATACGATATAACTTGATTAAACTGAATATTGATAAATGTTAAGTTATAAGGTTTAATAAAACAGCTAATATCATTATGCATGATTATGTCACTGCAGGTTCTGAACTATAAATGATCTTGGTGATATTTTTGACTAGGCAGATTAAACTATTTTATGTAAATACTCATAGAACTGTGGACAGAATTTATTTGTAGACCGACTGATGTCCAATTACAATAAGTATTTTTCAAATTATAACATTTTAGTAGGTTTTTTTTTAAGCGTCGACTTTCATTATACTATATTGACTTCAATTTTATACTATGACAATTTTATTAATTTCTTTTTTATTTTATTTTAATTGATATTTTAAATGTACCATTTAGAACTTTATGTATTTGTAGTATCTGTAGCGTACTGTAAACAAATAGATAGATAAATAAATAATGTGAACTTAATTATATAGTTTCTTCCTAAAAATAACCTTGTAGATAATAAATTTACTTGTTTATTATTAAAGAAAATAATATGTATAAAGAAAATGAAAAATATGCTCGTTTAAATCGTTGCACCTATTTTTAGTTGATTTTTACTTACTTTGTTTTCCTAAATAAATAATAACCTTTATTTTGATTTTTACAAATTTGATACTTAATAATGGATGTTCAACTTATACAGAACAATGTTTTTAGCATGATATTCTGCTATGAAAGAAAAAGAAATAATTTCAGATGTTATATATTCTTCTTCAACCAATTCTGTATTATTAACTTTAGCTTCTGTTGCAAAACCACTTACTTAACACAAAGTGGCAGGTTGCGGGTTCGGCCAGGAAGCAGGAAAGAAAACTCCGACGGCGCTTTGTTCGATTTATTAACTCTAAATACAGGTATGAACACAATCTTCGAAAAGTAATTCACGCACCAGAGGTATTCAGAATCAAAATCAGTCGCTATAAATGTGCGAATTACGAGTTTTTTCCAAAATAGTGTAAAAACTCGAATAAGCGTTAAACGGTACCTAGCGTGCCATCTAGACAACTAAAAAGGAACCCGAGCAATCGAACTACAGAGTACTAGACAGGAGATTCCAGAAATAGTACCGGTAGTGTCATCTTGAAACTGAAAAATGAAATATAAATCAAACCGAAATATAAATAAGATACAGGGTGGTACCTTGGTTCGTTACAACCGCCCCCGAACTAAGCGCATTTTTTTATTTTTTAAGAAAAATAAGGTTAGTTGAGACCCATTGGAGGGTAATACGTTTTAAAATGACTGGCGTGGAACATTCCCCTCTCCTTATCAGAATCGGGACTAACAAGTATAAATGTAGCAGGAGCTATTTTCTTTTTTATTTTGTAAGGCCCTTCAAATAATAGTAAACATTTCTTCATTTCGGACCTAATAGTTGAGGAAACAGGATTAGACCTTAAAAGTACCAAATCCCCAACGGTAAAATTACACGATGACTGTTTCGGGTTGGTGACTGACCTCCTCGCAAGACGTCCCTGCATACTTTCCTGGGCTAATATTAATTTAGCTTCATAAGGGAGTGGAGTACCACTTGGAGGATACTCGACACGGTCACGTAAAAGAGAGAGGGGGCCTTCTTTAAGTTGTAACTCACGCGGAGAAAACCCGGTGCTTTCGTGGACAACTGAATTTAAGAAATCGGCAAGCTTTGGGACTTCGTTTGCCCAGAGAGTATGATGTTCACTACAAAAGGTCCTAAACAACCGAGAAAGTTCGCGCATGTACCGTTCCACTGGGTTTGATTGGGGGTGCCGAACTGAACTGTAAGTTGGTTTAACTCCTAGGCTCGACAGGGTGGTCTCCCAGGACTTAGCGGTAAACTGACTACCATGATCAGTAAGGATTTTTTCTACGGGCCCATGTCTCTTAAAATAATCACTCTGCAATCTATTCAATATGGCCCTAGACGTTGCCTTTTTAAGGGGGTAAAGTGTAATAAATTTAGAAAAAACATCTATTATAACGCAGAGGAAAGTAACACCACCTCTAGATTTCACTAAGGGACCATACAAATCCAAGGATATTAGTTCATTAACTCTCGAAGACGGTACCGTTAACAACGGCGGTTTTTCGAGGGGGGCAACCTTAGCGCGTTGGCAGATATCACAATGCTTAATAATCCTTTTAATGTTACGGAACATATTGGGCCAAAAAAAATCGTGCTTTAGAGCAGTCCAGGTTTTATAAACTCCAAAGTGGCCTAATGTCTCGTGATAAGCTTGTACAAATGTGTTAACCAAATTATTAGGCAAACAAGCCAAATAAGGAGAGTCCTCCGATATTCTCATAAATAAAAAATCTTTATGTAAAGTGTATTTGTTATGATAAACGCTGTTTGGATCGCTTTTCAAAGACGCAATTATTGGTCCGAGGATGGCGTCAGCGGATTGGGCTTCAGGGAGACTCTTTATCTTTTTATTGAGATCGGGGGTAATTTAATTTGAAAATTAAATAACTTGAAACAACGATCAGAAGGGGTGGCAAGCCTAAAATTCGGGTACCGAGATAAAACATCGGCTATAATGTTTTCTTTGCCCTTTATAAAATGTACAGCAAAGTCATACTCTTGTAGTGCCAATGCCCAACGGGTAACGCGGGGAGTTAAAAGCCTGCACGTATGAATATAAATCATCGCTCTGCAATCCGTCAGGATATGGAAACGACGCCCCAAAAGGTAGGTACGCCATTTTTTTAAAGCAAATACCGCGGCAAGTACTTCTTTTTCGAAAGAAGTATACGCCTTTTCTCGATCCAATAAAAGTCGACTGGCGTAGGCTATTACGCAGCGGCGTCCATCAGTAGCCCTTTGATAGAGTTGCGCCCCGAGACCATACTCACTAGCGTCCGTTTGAACAAAAAAATCGAGACTTTGATCCGGGTGATAAAGAAAAATTTCGTTAGACAATATTTTTTTTATTCGCTCGAAAGCGTGCTGTTGCTCCTCGTTCCAGGCCCATTTAGTTTTTTTTCGAAGTAGGCGCGTTAGGGGTTCTACCGCAGATGAGAAATTTTCGCAAAAGTTTCTATCATAATTACAAAGGCCTAAAAACGATTGCAAACCCATAATATTCCGTGGGGCGGGGAACCCTTTAATTGTGTCAACCCGTTCAGGGTCAGGACAAATGCCCTCGCAGGTAATGACGTACCCCAAATATTTTAAAGTATCAGGAACAAAATTACATTTCTTAAACTTAACTGTAAAACCGGCCTCGCTTAAACGTGAAAAAACTCTAGCGAGGTGCCCAATGTGATCTTCAAATGATTCAGAAAAAATCAAAAGGTCATCAATATACGCGATAACAAAACTATCAAATTCAGGTCCTAAAATTTTTGAGATACACCTAGTAAAAGAAGAAACGGCAGTGCAAAGGCCGAAAGGTAAATAGGTAAATTGATAAGTCTGAGTACCTAGCAAAAAACCTGTATATTTCTTATCTCCTTCGCGCAATGGAATTTGAAAATAGCTCGAAC